CAATTCATTGTTCTGTGATGTCGAGTTCTCGGTTGCAGACGGCGATGGAAACAAAGTCACCGTTCCATCCAACAAGTACGTGCTGGCTACCACCAGTCCTGTCTTTGCTGTCATGTTTTACGGTCATCTAGCCGAGAATAAACCAACTATCGACCTACCAGACTGCACTAAGGAAGGACTACAAGAAATACTTCGTTATTCACATTGTGAGGAAGCTAATATAACCGGACGTAAGGTGATGGAGTTACTCTACCTCGCCAAGAAGTACATGATGCCATTCCTCGAAAAGAAATGTAAAGAATATCTCGAGACTGAAGTTGGTCCAGAAGATGTGTTCATTGTTTTACCACAAGTACGGAAAATGGGAGATGAAGACCTTCAAGAACACTTGTGGGAAATTGTTGACAAGCAAACTCATCGAGCCATTTCTTCTGAATCATTTCTGGATGCATCTAAAGAACTGCTTTGCCAAGTGCTCAAAAGAGACACTCTTAGTGCATCTGAAGTGCATATTTTCGAAGCTGTAGATAAATGGGCCACCAAGCAGATTGATGAAAGAGATTTGGTTTGTGAAGGTGAAGCAAAAAGAGCCATCCTTGGAGAAGATCTCATCCGACTGATTCGATTTCCACTTATGTCTCAAAAGGAGTTTGGTGAAACTGTACTTCCACTCCAAGTTCTGAATTTGTATGAAGTAACAGAAATGTTTCAATTTTTTTCTGCCATAAGTCCTAACTCAAATATCTTTAATAACAGACGACGACGATTCAGTTCAAAAAGCATTGTAATTTCGCGATTTAGCAATTTTAATATTCGCCGTTTATGGGTTTACACTGGAACACCAAATGCTATAAACCTTACTGTCAACAAAGATGTCAATCTGGTTGGCGTACGATTATTTGGCAGCGCAGGCTGCAACTACGATGTGACATTGAAGATCTGCAAGTACAATCGAAGTGAATGTCAAGATCTGATCTTGTCATGTCCTCCTCGTCGTTGTCGTTCATGAGTGAACAGATAGATGTAGGCTTGTACTATGGATTCACGGTCACCCTTGATAAACCTGTGCGTCTTGTCTCTGGTCAGGTGTATAGATTGGAAGCTGCAATCTTTGGACCAGGCTCATGTCGTGGAAACGATGGTCATCCGCTTGTGCTTGCTGGAGATATTGTAGTAGCTTTCTCTACTGCTTCAAAGCCTAACAGCGGTACTGATGTTAACCAAGGTCAGTTTCCTTCGGTTATTTTACAACATCTGTGATTGGAAAGGGATACTTTGTATTCTGAGACGGTTTGAGAAGCAGAACATATAGTAGCTTATAGTCGCAAACGAATTTTCTCTCATTTTTGTTTTTGTTTTAAAGAAAAGACTAAGTCGTTATCAGTCGAATATACACCTATTTCAAAAAACGTTGTCGTCGCCAGGACTCAGTCAACAGTCTTGAGCCTGCAAAGAATCTCGGGATTGCCATATATAATTGTGTGTTCAATTTCAGTTATTCAAAATACTCCGATTTAGAGTTCAACATATTCTTCTGTTTCATTGATAGCCCGAGATAACGCATGGAATTTGAAAAGAAAGACAATAGAATTGATTTGAAATCTCACACTTTTATTCTCACAATTAGGAATATTTTGCGAACAAATTACGCTAACACAGAGCATCGAAGAATTCGAAACTGGAATATTCTCGGCGAATATAGCTTTGAATGACTCATTGACGTTTTAAAAAMGTGGAATATTCATTTCAATGAGGAAAATGTCTATGGCGAGACTTGTTCGATGGGCCGC